GGGACACCACTTGTCACCAGCCTCCAACTAGACTCAGTGCCGCTGATGACAACCCTCTGAGTTCTGCCATTCAGCCAGTTCTCTATCCACTTCACCGACCACTCATCCAGCCCACACTTCCTCAGCTTCCCTAGGAGGATATCATGGGAGACTGTGTCTAAAGCGTTGCTGAAGTCAAGGTAGACAACATCCACGGCTCTCCCTTCATCTACCCAGCCAGTCATGTCATCGTAGAAAGCTATTAGATTGGTCAGGCATGATTTCCCCTTGGTGAATCCATGCTGACTACTCCTGACAACCTTCTTCCACTTGCTTGATAATGGTCTCCAGGATAAGCTGCTCCATCACCTTTCCCGGGATGGAGGTGAGGCTGACCGGCCTGTAGTTCCCTGGGCCCTCCTTCTTGCCTGTCAGGAAGTTATCTTCCACACACTCCAGGAACCTCCTGGGGGAGGCTTCTGAACATGGGCATCACGGTTTCTGGGCATGCTAGCACCCATTCCATGCCTGACAGGATCAGCATCTACTCTGTCCTTTCCGGGAGGAACATCCATCACAACTCAAGGAGGAGACCCCAAGCTGCCCCTCAAACTGGTCACATTGCACCTCTGCTCATTGTTTTTTTTGTGAGCCTGAGCTAAAGGTTGCACCAGTTCCAGAGACCTAAACTGACATTTATGATTTTCAGAAAGTTGACTGAGAACAACAGCAGAGGACAGGAAGAGGCACAGCTCAAGCCCGCTTACAAATAAATCCCCTATGTGTTATGATTAATAAGCAGGAGTATCGTGAACCGACATTGCGCTGCTGAGATAACGCACAGACACAACTGCAGGGTGCTTCCTCTGCCGTTTCTGGGTTATCAGTTGGCTTCCAGCTGAGAGTTCATTCCCAGCCACAAATACGGTCCTTGTTGGCCAAGTTCACTAACTGCCCAAAAGCTATGAGGGTATTTTTGAAAGTGCTGGCCCACAGTTAGTCACTGGTCCTTGCCATTCTTTTCAGTGCAACTGGAGCATCTATGGGAAGCAAACCAAACACTTTTCATATTCAGTACTTTTGCAAGAGGACTGTGATACATTCCCTGTGCCATTCTTGCAAAGGCAGCTGCTTTTCATAACTCTTGACGGACCAGCTTGACCTTAAATGTGCTATAGAAACTTCGCATGGACTTGGCCAAGTGCAGAAAGCTGTTTCCATTTTTTTAATGGCTGTGGTTATACTGGGTGTAGGTTTTGGTAGTGGGTGGTGGGGGCTGCAAGGGTGACCTCCATGGGAAGAGGTCCAGGGCTGACCCGTGCTGGACACGGTTCCAGCCAGCTCCACTATGGACCCACCGCACACCAAAGCTGAACCAGTCAGAGGAGTTTGTGACATCTCAGCAAAAACATATTTGTGAAAGGGCAGAAAATGCCAGAAAGAGGAGGGAACAGAATGAGAAACAAGAGAAAGTTGGAGGAGGAGGTGCTCCATGAGCAAGGACCCCGCTGAAGGGATTGCAGCCAGTGCATAAGCCTACACTGGAACAGGTACATCTCTGAAGGGAATGCAGCCCATGGAGGGCCCACACTGGAGCACGGGAAAAGAGTGAGAAGGAAGGAGTGGCAAAGAGAAACCACCATCTCCTGATCCCAACCCCCTGCACTGTTTATTGTCTCACTGGAGTTACTGAGTGTAGCTGTTGGTGACAGAAACGTGGGGGGAGAGGTGTCTGGAGTGGAGTTGAGCCTGAGTGTGAACCTGAGCCTGGGAAAGGGTGAAGGGTGATTGAAAGCTTTGTCTTTTTTTTGTTTTCCGATACCCGAACCAGTAATTGAATATTTCTCCCAATTACCAGTAAATTAAGTTAAATTCCCAAAGTCTAATCTCTTTTGTCCATGAGAGCAATTGGTAGGTGATTTCTTGGTCTTTATCTTCACCGATAAGTCTCCCTCCAGATCCTTCTCTTTTTCCCCCCGTCCTGATGGAGGAAGGGGGAGCGAGAATCTGTGTTGGTGCTTGGCTGGTAGCCAGGATCAACTAACCACAGCGATGCAGAGAAATGAGGTGTGCTCAGTACCTAGCCAAATTTAGGCACATTCTTGGAAAACACAACCTCTCTTTTAACTCTTTTTCCTACAATAAATTTTCCAATAAGCTTAAAGTTTAAAAGAAAAAATTTCAAAACAACACTCTTTTCCTTCAAAATACATTTATTTCATTTCTTGATACAAGAATGTTAGATCGGGCTTGCCTAACTTTAGGAATGGCATTCAACCTAACATAAACAGAGAACATTGAGTACAAGTCACATTGCCTAGAGAAGAAAGAGAGACAGGCTATATAACATCACCTGAATTACAATTCTATCTTCATGCAGCTGAAACTGTTGCTGTACTGATAAGATTTTAATGACCTGTAATGGGAACTCAGACTCTTGCCTAGGGTTTTCTGAAACTGATCCCGATGTTCTTTCAACTAGCTGATTCTTTTTTCCTTTCTTGATTTTTTTTCATGTTTCAGCCTCAGGTTTCAGTCTGGAGCCTCTCTCTTAGGAGGAAAGGCTGAGGGTGCTCGACTGGTTTAGCCCGAAGCAAAGAAGACTGAGAGGGGATCTCATAAATGCTTAAAAATATCTTATGGGTGGCTGTCAAGAGGACGGGGCCAGACTCTTTTCAGTGGTGCCCAGTGACAGGACAAGGGGCAATGGGTACAAACTGAAGCAGAGGAAGTTCTATCTGAACACGAGGAAGAACTTCTTTACTTTGAAGGTGACAGAGCATTGGAAAAGGCTGCCCAGAGAGGTTGTGGAGTCTCCTTCTCTGGAGATATTCACAACACACCTGGACGCAGTCCTCTGCAACCTGCTTTAGGTGACCCTGCTTTAGCAGGGGGATTGGAGTAGATGATCTCCAGAGGTGCCATGCAACCCCTACCACTCTGTCTGTGTGATTCTTCTTATTTAATTTCACATTACTGATGTCTGAGATTTAACTTCTCCCTTCTTCTTTCTACCAAAACTTCTTTTCCTAATTAGTTAGATCTCACACTTCTATTTAATGAAGCTTTAAAGGGACAGGGATTAAGACTGGGTGGATAGCAGGTGTGTGCTCCCCTTCCTTTTTGGATAGAAATGGGTAAAACTTTTCTGCAGGGTCCTTTCCAAGCCTTAGAGGCATGCTCACCATGATGCCCATCTGCTTTGCTTCATAAAAGCTCACTTGCCCTTTCTCCAACTCCACATGCACACCAATCACTGAATCACTCATCTGCTGCTTCGCAATCCGGTGGTCTCCTTCGCTAGAGAAAATGTCTCCCTGGGATCTGTGCAGAGCCCAGTAGTGCTCCCCAGGAAGGAACTCTTCCTCCTTCGGTCTCCCTGTCTTCCTCAGCACCCCCAGCACCCAGTCCTGCTGCTGGCCCACGTCCACCTCCCAGTAGTGTTTCCCAGCTGAGAACCCTGCCTTCCCCACCAGGACAGGAACCGTGGAGGCAGCATTCGGGACAGCAGGTTCAGACGTGTTGCTCCCCACATCTGGAGCCCCTGGCACCTGGAGCTCCAGGACTTGGCAGTCAGCATTCACAGTAATGGGAACTGGAGGGGAAAATGAGAATCATCCAATCAGCAGAGTGGCTCAAGGACCTCTCTCCACACAGGGCTATGGGATGAAGTGTTCCAGGGTCTGAACAGTCCTGGTGCAATTCCACAAGGAATTTCAACATTCCTCAGAACAGGGCATGCAATCACTGATGAACCGAGAGGCCCCTGGGAGCTCTCACAGCCATGTCCTCTCTGGGGGTGCAAGTCCACACACTTTACCAGAAATCTCTCTTTTCCATACCACCCTCTGTCCTCTCCAGAACTGTGTCCCCATCCCACCCCAGACTCGGAACACCTTTCAGCAACTTCTTTTCTTGGTCTTCCCAGCAGCCACATCCCAGGCTCATTTCCCGCTAACCAAGCCAGGCATATTCCTGTGACTCCAGTTTAGTCGGTATATCTCTAAAATCATGGTGTTGTCATTTCAGGGTAGCTTGGACAGGTGGCCACTGCATTTTCACACGCTTCCTCCTGCCAACTTACCTGCATGGCTTCTGGCTTCCCAGAAATCTACAGAAAGGAAAGAGAGAGTAGCGTTTTATGATTCTATCGGGCTCTTAGATGCTAGTCAACATACAACATTTCTGTCTACCTATGTGCAATTACTGTCATTACTGTGATTCTGTTGACTTTACTTCATACACCAGTACTTCTATCAATAAAATAAGACTTTGAAACCACTTACCCTGTTCAGCTTTGAGTCGCTCTGAAAGGGAAGGATGTTCTTGTTATTAACACTTACTTTGTGAGGGGTTTTTCAAAGTCAGACAATCCCAAACAACAGGAGATCAAGCAATATCATGGGTCAGTATGAGGGGTTTTTTTTAATCGATTTGATTTAAATTTTTGAGTCTCTGTTGCAAGGTGAGGGCACAAACTCGGGCTCTACAGAAGTTCTGGATTTGTTTACACTTAATAAGCATTTTAGAGGACATGAAATCAGCCAGCTGGGCTGTGTGGAGGAAATTAATTTATTGGCTGTCACTTTAATGGTTCAGTTGGACATGATTTGTAAGGAAAAAACCAAACCATGATGCAGCATAGGTGTCTGTAGCTTTGATATAGCTTTTAGGTAAGAAAAGTTTCCAACAAGGAGGAATATTCATAGTCCAGAGAGGTATTATAGCAAGCCGTGTGACAAATCTCTTGAAGGAGAAAATTGAACCTCACTCTGAGGAGATATTATCATTGGCTTCAGCCTCATGGATGACAGAGCCAGGCTTTTCTGAACACTTGCTTTATTTTTTATGATGTTTCTAAAAATCTGAGATTTAGACAAGATGCTTTCTCACCAAGGTGATCTCTGCTTTCAGAAGTTGCTGTAAAAGAAGAACTTTACTTAGTGAAATCAAAACTCGAGGAGATAACAATTAAGAGGTGAGAGCTGAATAAAACAGTTCTATCACTGTGCAAATACTGAAATTATATTTTCCTTTAAAATTTGCCATGTGAAAACTTAAATTCTTAAAAGCATACGTTATGGATAAAAGTCAGGTGTAAATTAATGCAACCATACTGTACTGTTTCTATGCTCTAGAGTTAAGGCACTTATCTTTTTCTTTTTCTTACCCTTTTCCCTTAGTTGTACACCTCTAGTGCTGTCTGAAATGCTGTGCCCTGGGCAGGAAACCTCATGGCATCTCAGCAGAATCCACATATAAACAGCTGAATTTCAACCCAAAATGAACATAGTCAAAACAATTTGATATGCAGGCTCAGGTGATAAAATGCAGATATCTATTTTTGAGTTCTCTAGGTGCAATTAGTAATATTGGTGATCAATATCGATGGCTCTGATAGTATGGTCCTTTTTGCACAGAAGTCATCTAATGTTATTTGTCTACTGTATACTCATAGGCACAGGCTGTCTCATGTTATGCGAGATGCCCTAAGATGCATGGCATTCAGAAGGCCTACTCATTCAAAAGGAGTTGACCTGCAGAAGGGTCTTTGCTGTACGTGACCTTTCCAGGTGGGTACGTCCGTTGAGGGATGAAGCAGGAAGAGAGGGGGAAGCATGACATGGCATTTTCCTTAATACTTACTTTGTATGGAGCTAAACATCCAAGGCAATATTTCTCAAGATACAGAGTCTGAGCCGTACATTTTTGGCTTTGTGATGCTAGTTACAGCTTTTGAATAATTTGACCAGAAAGTGAAAAAGAGCAGGAGTGGCAGGTCAGAGCTTCGAGAAATCTCAGCACAGTCAGCAAGACTCCAGGCAGAGAGATTATGTAGAAGCAGATAAGCATTGTAAGCCTCTTAGAAACAGAGACACACAAAATAACATATTTTAGCAGTGACTAAGAATGAAACAGAAGTAACAATCACTTGAATAAAGGCAAGCTGCTATGCTATTTTATGAAGTAGCTTATTTTCATTCTCTCTTATATGCCTACCTGTAAGATTTGATTAACATTGTCTTAATTGTAGAATTATATTTACCTCCTTTGTTTGTTTTCTTCTGTGATTCTAAGTTGATCAAGAAACAAAACAAAAAAATGAAAGAAAAAACGCACATTACTGGCTGGCCCGTTGTTTGAATTTAGAAGTTAAAAATTATGAGATGAGCTTTTAAATTATTTATTTGTCCTCAATTACTAAAGCTCCAACAAGTTATTGGAAGTGGATCATTTTTCAAATTCATAATCAAACACAAAAACAGGTCATGAAAATGTTTGTTGAAGGGAACAGACACATTCAGAAGTACTTCATATAAAAATCTATATCTCATTTACTCTTTTGGGGATGTAAATAGCATACACCCTAGAAGTAATAAAAGAAACAGGAAAACTGTGTCCTTACCTAGTTGTGCCTTCAAACGTCCTTTATCTGAAAGAAATGATACAAGATTATTAATGTATAAATTTCAGTATCAAATTTTAAAATTTTAATTACAATATTTTCTTGAACAGTTTTCTTTTCTTTTTCTTCAACAATATGTTAACATAGGACCACCCATGATCAACTTAATCTATTTGGTGAGGTAAAGGAGGTTGATTGCACAGAGAATTGTGAAGTCAAATAAACGAACAGGTGAATTAGCATACGAATTTGGAGGACCTCCGAAGTGGCTAGAGAGATTTGATGAACTTCATCTGACCTCTTTCAGGTATCTACATGACAAATGTCTCTTCTCTCATTTAGTTGCTTTGTAGGTCCCTTATATTCATTGTAGGAAGTCCCTCCCCCATCTCCCAGGTCTTCTTCCCAATAATAGCTTTCTCAGACTGTTTGAATCTGATCTCACTCTGAATGTTCCTGTTTCTTTTAGCAGATGACAAAGACAAGACTCTCAGGAAGACCGTGAGACTTCTTCTGTTTTAGAAGCTTAAATAAAATGAAGCTCACTGCTAAGTTAGCAGGACAAAATGAGATAACTGAGATCCTCTAGACTATGTCTGGCCCTAACTTCTTTACTGTTATCATTATTTGGCAAGAAATATATGCTGACAACACACAGAATTTGCAGAAATTGCA